GCCTGCAAATGAAGGTGCTCGTGTGACGTACGTGACGTACGCACACATGTTACCCGATTGAGCATAGCAGGCCGTTTGAGAGGCTGGCGACAGCCTTGGTGCAAACATGAAAGCTCAGACTTTCCAACCTCTCTCTCCCCAACAAACACAACTCAAGTCCATTTCTATTCCACCGCACCTCCGGGCCCTCCCCCGCTCGCGGAAACCGCGCCCATCGAAACACTTGCTTAAGATGATTGTTGAAAGTTCCGGGGGGCTCCCAACGGAGCTGCTTTTGTAAATATTCGGCTACTTCGCCCCTACAGGATGCGTTACCGCCCCCAACAAAACCGCTCTGGCGGTGTCTGATATCCAGATCTGCCCCAGTCACCCAAACACCCGGTCCACGTTCGCTAGCCTCTGTCGCGTCTCCCGCCTGTTCCACGCCGTTGCCATCAGCCATCTCTATCACACCGTGCATCCGAAGGATCGAGACGAGCTGTATCGCTTTTTCCGCACCCTCTTGGAATGTCCCGATCGCGCTCTCATGGTGCATGAGTTTGCCTGGCTCGGCGAGTTGGCTGCGCAGGAGCAGACCGGACTACGATCAGAAGATGAATCAAGCATGAAGCGAAGACGATCTAGAAATTTCACCCCTGCCCTACTGAAACTTGAAGATTGTTGGGCTGCTGTCGCATCCAAAGACGGCTCAAGTGAAGTTGTAACCGCAGCTCACCTCATTGGCATCACCGGAACCGACAGCTGCACCAGAGCTGGAGAGTCCTGGGCGCCGCATTGGCTGCTATGGTCAATGTGCAGTCGCTATTCGTCCTGCATGGCTGTTTGCTTCTCGGTCACGGCGATGCACTATCGGCACTGACAGGCCAGAGTTGCTATCCCGAGGAGAGCGCTCTTTGGGAATGGCTCTCGGGGATGGAGCGCAGCAAAAACCGTCGAGGGCGCTGGTGGTATTCCGTGTCGCAGGTTCCTTCAACGACTCGACACGCTTATGCTTGAGCCATGCTACAATTACCAGGGGTTTACCATCGACGAGTCCCTTCGCGCCCTGCTATCAAGCCCGCGTTCCCTCAGGCACATCGAGTTGAATGGTACCATGCCGCTGCCGCTCGAGCGGGGACGAAATGGCGATATTGTCTCCAACACCGTGCGAGAACTTGTTGTTTTCCGCAACTTTTACTCGGAATTTGAGTTCAGTGATCTGGTGTCGGTCTTTCCAAATCTCGTCACCCTCGAAGCCGAGTATCTGGATGGCGGACAATCGCCACTCAAGACTCCCGGTTGGGACTTCGCCCGGCCCGAGCCCTCGCTGGCTCTGCTGAGGATTGCCGACACATTGGAGAGTTTAAGTCTGACCAGTGGCTTCACAAGCTCGTCTGGTGGCTTCAAAAGCTCGTCTGGCATTATGCTCTCGGGCGGTATTCCGCCGTTACTACGGCTCCTGGACCAGATGACGGCACTCAAGCACCTGACAACCGAGTCTGTTTGGCTGTTTGGTAGAGTGGAGAACATCAGGAGCCCGGCCCCTATCTTCCCGTCGTCCGATGTGATCATTCTCCCACCCTCCCTTGTTTCTCTTCGCCTCGTTGACTTTTGGGGTGTCTAAGGCTCCCGGCCCACAATGTTCATCCTAGGTTCTCTTCCAGTTGGTATCCGCTAGACTTTTACCACCATCAGTTTCAGGGACTTCTGGTGGCACGCACAAGCGGCCTGAGTCTTGGAAGTCTTCATGAGGTTGAATTCGCCACCATGCTGCCCCGGCTTAGGCACTACAATCCGTGGGAAGAGGAAGGCCTTGATCCTTTGCACTCGTTGTTCCAGTTCCAGAACTTATTTGGGACTGCCGACGTGCGATTCTCCGTGTTAGCACAGCCGCCGCCACGCGAGATCTAGATGCGGTGTTCTTTGGCAGCCATACTGACGGCCCCATTACCTCGAATCCCAAAAGCCCAAGAATTTTCATAATTTTCCACTTGCAAGAATTACAAAATTATGCTGGCATTCGCACTGCCCAGTGAAATTGGGGGACCTCAGTTTTGTGGTGCTAAGCACATGCGCAAAAGATCTGAGACGCCACACCCAATCTGAAACAGATTGCTTGGCGTGGTAACGAAATTGCCGTCCGCGAAGTTGCACGCGACGGCAATACAACTAACTCCTTTCCAAACTCTGCCACCGACCCCGAGCCCGGCACCCGGGTACCGTACCTACCTTAATCCTGCATGTCAAACTCAAGTCATTCTTATCACGATTGCAGATGAGGGACACATTTCCCGTTCAATCGCACTCGTGACGCGCCCCAGCAGCGCTGGTGGGCAGCAGCGAGCACAGGATGCAGCGCCCCCTTCGAGCCTTCGCCCCGCGGAGTAGGAATCTCCTTGTCGCTGTCGTCTTCTGCCTCATTTTCTTTTACCTGCTTAGATGGTCCGACAATCACGGCCATGTGACACTCGAGTCCGCCGCTCTCGAGCGCCACATGAACTCGGGGCCTCTCTCACACCCGCTGACCCTTGTCAAGAGCAGCGTCGACTGGGGCAACGTCGAATACCGATACCCAGCTCAAGAGCCGCTGACGCCTGTGCCTGCACCGCCAGCCAAGCCCCTGCCACGCGTCCAGCATCAGTTTGGCCCCGAGTCGACGCGCACTTCGAGGGTGCGTGAGGGGAGAAGGAAGGCAGTGAAGGACTTGACGGTCAAGAGTTGGAATGCATACCGCAAGTATGCCTGGAAGCAGGATGCGCTCCTGCCGTTGTCTGCACGCGGGAGGGACCAGTTTTCTGGCTGGGCGGCGACCCTGGTGGACTCGCTCGATACTCTCTGGATGATGGGCCTACGGGACGAATTCGACGAGGCCGTTGCCGCGGTAGCCCAGATCGACTTTGGCAACTCGACTGCGCCGCAGGTGAACATCTTTGAGACCAACATCCGTTATCTAGGCGGTCTGATGGCGGCCTACGACCTAAGCAAGCGGGAGGTCCTGCTGCAAAAAGCAATTGAACTCGGCGACCTGATCTACGGCGGCTTCAACACGGCCAACCGGATGCCAGTTGACTCCATCGCCTTTGACGCCGCTAAGGCCGGGACCGGCCTGCATGTGGAGGAACAAGTCGTCTCGGCCTCCCCTGGGACTCTCTCGCTTGAGATGACGCGCCTGTCCCAACTGACGGGCAACCCAAAGTACTACGACGCCATCGTCAAGGTCACTGACCTCTTCCACCGCGGCCAGAACAGCACCCGCCTCCCCGGCCTCTTCCCCATGTTCGTCTCGATGCTAAACAAAAACGTGGTCGCGGGCGGCGACTTCACCCTCGCCGGCTGCGCCGACTCCCTCTACGAGTACTTCCCCAAGATGCACGCGCTCCTCTCCGGTGCGGTCCCGCAGTACAGAGACCTGACCCTCGGCTTCATCGCAGCCGCAAAGAAACACATCTTCTTCCGTCCCATGATCCCCGAGGACGACGTCGACATTCTCATCGCCGGCAACGTCCGCGTCGCTAACGACAACGTCCCCGTCCTCGACCCCGAGAGCGAGCATCTCGCGTGCTTCATCGGCGGGACGGTCGCCCTAGCGGGCCGCCTTTTGGAGAGGGAGGAGGATGTGCAGGTGGGCGCCCGGCTGGCGAGGGGCTGCGCATATGCGTACCGCTCGTTCCCGACGGGGGTCATGCCCGAGAGGTTCAACATGGTGCCCTGCAGGGAAGGGGCGTGTAAGTGGGATGAGGAACGGTGGGTCGAGGAGAGGCAGAAGAGGCCGGAGTGGAAGGCGCACTTGCCCAAGGGCTTCACGACGGCGAAGGATCCAAGGTATATCCTCCGCCCGGAGGCGATTGAGAGCGTGTTTTATATGTGGAGGATCACGGGGGAGGAGGAGTGGAGCGAGACGGCGTGGGATATGTTTGTCGCGGTGGCGAACGCGACGGCTACGGACGTTGCGGCGGCTGCGGTGAGGGATGTCACTGTTGCGAGGGAGTTTGTGGCGTGGGAAGATTATATGGAGGTGAGTTTGGGGGATAGGATGCTGGGCTGACTGGCCACCGTGCTAACATAACTCGCAGAGCTTTTGGATCGCCGAGACGCTAAAGTACTTTTACCTCGCATTTTCACCGCCCGACTTGATCAGTTTGGATAAGTATGTGCTCAACACCGAGGCGCACCCTTTCTTGCGGCCATGAACATCGATCCTTGAACGGCGTTGTTTGGGACTGGGCAATGGGCCGGGGATAGGGGCGCACATAGTTATGTATCCTTGTAAGATAGATTGGAAAGGGAAGGGAAAATATACTGCCGGTGTTTTGTCCTGAGCCTCTGACTTGGTCCATGCCACAAAAAAAAAAAAAAACGCTGCGTTGTCAAAGTGACACAGCTCAACGCAAAGAGGTGTGGATCAAGATTGTCAAGTGTGTGAAGAACAAGGGGGTTCCAGTGTGATTCAATTGCCCCTCGGCTTCAACAAGCTCAGCCGATATTCTTGTTAAGGTCTTGTTTGCCAAAGGCATGTAGAAGAAGAGGAAGCACTCGAGGGCTGGGGCGAAGCCCAGCCTTCTTATGCACTAGATACAAAGAACAAGGATATCCCCAGATGCCTCCGTGCTTAGGCATCTCTACAACCGCTGGCCACATGGCCATCCTTCAGGCCAACCATCTAGGGGTTCCTGTTCCTAGTGGCTGTCCAGGAGGTGTTGGCCCAATTGAATCCGTTGGTGGCTGCCTTGACGAGGGGGTCTACGGCCGATGCCGGTCCCGGCAGTCGGTGTAAGCTGTCACGACGATGCGAGCCAGCAGTGTGACAGTCAATCTTGATGTCACCGCCAAGGGTCAGATCACAACTTCAACCTCGCTCAACCCGGTGCCCCTGAGTCCTAAATGAACTTCCCCCTTCATCCAAACCCTGCCTTCAATAATCACCCGCAGCACAAACATCTCGATCAAGACCACCACTCGGTACACTTACGTAGCACGTATGCAGCCAACCAATCATCAAACAGCATCAAAGCAATTCCACAGTCACTTTGGCGGAGTGGTTAACGCGTTACCCTGCTATCCACCCGGAAACTGTCAGGTAATTCCCTCGGGAGCACAGGTTCGAATCCTGTAGGTGACGATTTCTTTTTGCAGATGCACAGGGTCGATGTTCCTCTGGGTTTGTCACGCCTTGGGAGCGCTATCGGGGGTAGGAAGACGAATGAGGAGGTTTTAGGGAGAGGAGGCGGCGATGTGAGGGGGGCATTGAACAGTGTCGTTCCACGGGCAAGGGGTAAGTTTTGGCGAGGTTTCTGTGCGGACACTCGAAACTGAGGGAACTGGGAAGGATCCCGTAACGTTGGTGTGGTTTCTTTACCAGCCAGTGCGCAAGCGCAAAGATGGGGTGATATTGTGACGTTTGCTCACTCGGACAAGCCATTCTTGATGCGGGTTGGAGTAAACAACGAAGGGACTCACAACGACACCAAAACATTCCGTCTGAGGGTCAAGGAAACAGCCTGGTTCAGCCTGGTTGTATGGGACGAATCTGGGTACACGAAATTTCCTTTTTCTTTCGTAATCGAGAAGTCGCTGTCGCGCGTGCCGGGTTTAGCGCCATGTCCATTTTATCGCGGCGTTCTGCTTTGGTTGGCTGCACGCTCCCCGCTCCCCGATCCTAACATCAGTCGACTTCCTCTCCTTACATTCTTGACAATGGCTAGCCTGGAGATGCAGTGTGGGTATGGCCCTCGCTGACATGGTATCACCTTGGTTGGAAGCCCGAAGATAGCCTCATGAATAAACTCCGATGGGCGTAACATTCTCTCCTGCCCCTTCGCTTGTAGGATGAAGCACTCTTGGATCCGAGTATGCACTCTTAGGCATCCCCTATTTCACACAACGCTATGTTGGAACCATTTTAGAGACTAACCAGCCAAAACGATATCTCGAAGTGAGGATTGGCTCTGCTCTCGATCTCTTACCTCCTTATAACATACTATGGCACCAATCCTTACAAATGTAATCCCTCATCCTCATACCTAATCATCCTCCTCATCATCCTCCTCCTCTTCTAATTCAGAGTCATAGTCGACACCATCGTGCTGTTGCGCCCGGCGGATGACATTGTCTGCCACAATTGCTAACCCTGTCTGGTCTGCTTCTGTTCCAACAAGAGTATCCTCATCAATCGCATGTTCCATGATTGACTCGGCGATACTACTGACGTCGTGTCCAATCTCTTGGACAAACCCAAGAAGCATATTCTTCCTTATGTACTTCCCATGGGTACCCCAACATCTTGTGCTTTTAAGGACCTCTTTCTGGATCAACGAATCCGGGTTTTTGACTGAGCCCTTCCATGACAGTTGTGTGATGGCGCTGAGAAATGTCCACCACATATATCTTGCTCTTGGGCGAGCGTCGTTCTGGAATACCAGGCGGCGCCCGTCAAGGTCTGCCAAGGTCTCAAAACCGAGCTGCTTATATACTTGTTCGTCAAATACTTGCTCCTTCATGCAAGCTGGTGTTGGGTCAAGGACTGCGATACGGTACTCGCGTAGCTGTGATGTCTCCCACTTCCTCAAAGCCTTGTGTCGTTCTTCCTTATCCTCCCACGGCGCTAACGGGTCTTTCGGGTCAACCCCAATGTCTGGAACAATGGCTAAAAAGCCACGGTCAAACGCCTTCTCGATTTTCGGATGGAGAAAGATGCCGTTAACGGCAGAGAAGAGCTCATCTCGCAACCCAGGTCCGAAGATTGAATCCATCATATCAGCTGACTGCCACGGGAAGAGGTGGGCGGCAGTCGCAAAGTCGTTATCTATCCACTGGCCAAGTACTGGCTCCCAAATCGAAGCTTTGCCGCCAGGGCAATAGGCCTGCTTCATCAAGGTTCTTATCATTGATTGATCGCTGGTCTCTCGCCGGCCCTTGGATGATGCTTGTTCCAGCCTGAACCCAAGCTTCGATGAGTTGAACAATTTGACAAATACGGTGCGGATTTCTTGGAAACGAGACCCCCTATCCTTCAGCTTCTCGGCTTGGCTCATGGCGATTTTTGCTTGTGTCGCCAATGCGACCTTCTCCATAATGCACTCTCTGGCCTTCTGGTCGACCTCCTCCCATCGCTCCCTCGAAAGGATTTCCCCCTCTTCCTGGTATTTCTGGAACTGCATTGAGGTATATAATCCTATCCGCTTTGAGTCCATAGCCAGGAGATTCGCCTTGCTTGACCAAATGTTGGAATCGAATGACGATGACGGCGCAAGCTTCTTACGGGCGGTATTGATCTCTTTAACAAGCTTACTATGCTGCTCCTCTATATCGAGTGGCCTTTGATTAGCCTTCCCCTTACTGCTTGATCGGGTCGGGATCGTAATCTTGGGGCCAGTGGTGGTACTAGAGCTCGGGTTTGACGAAGATGGGCAATTAATAGACGATTTCCTCTCGGGGGGGACTGGTGGCTGCGACATGATGAAGAATTTGTCGGCTTTATCAAGAGGTTTTGCGAGTTGAAGGAGTGGGTGGGTGCGTGTAGACTCGTCCCGTGGTAGAGGCGACGACGGCAGCGTAGGGGCGACGGTAGCAGAGAAGTGTCGAAAACAACGCGGGTTTTCAGGCAGGTGAGCAATTTCTGAATTTAAAAAGCCTCGTGGGCAGGGTGGGAGTACGGTGCAGAAGTTGTCGGAATTGATGCTTTTTTGAGGAAAGCTGCTTGTGGGAAGAAAGCTACTTGTGGGAAGAAAGCTACCTGTGGGAAGAAAGCTACTTGTGGGAAGAAAGTTTGAAGCTAAGGTTGGCTTCAGAGTAGCACAGATACTTTGGGGGTGGGGCTAACAATTTACACCTCACTGTCGAGGACGCTGAAAATGGCGATGCGCGTCAGCCGGATCCGGTCGTCAGAACAGCGCTTTCTCGTTTTAAGTTGTAATCCTGAGCCGAGGTAAACTGTGGCTTATTTGTCCTGAGCTTTCCCTGATTCTTCCCTGAGCGAGGGTGATCCTATACGCCGTCGCTACACAGCCTCAGAGGCCCGTTTTCAGTCTCCCCGGCTAAAATTTCATTTCGATGTCCTCCGTAGTGTCCACATTTCTGGCATATACTGATACACGTTGTAGGATAGTACGTAGCATGCTAGTCTAATTCCTAGCATAGAACGTAGTATCCTAGTACCAAAACTAGGATGGTTGTTAGTATACCAGTATATTATATAGGCGTAGTACATAATATACTAGCACCTAGAATATACCAGTACATATTGTACTAGCCTAGAGTATACGAGACGACAAAGAAAACTTGGCAACGTGCGTGATAAGCGAACGGCCACAATAATAAGCGAACGACCAGCTCTAACAAAGTTTAGTGATCCGCACCTGGAAATGTGCTAATAAATCATTAGCGGCCTTACCAATTTCTTATTGCATTTTCACGTGGATTTAGTCCACAACTGTTAACAGTAGTCGCTCACTTGTTCACATTACTTCATTCCCAACGCTGCGCCGCGTCGCTCCATTCCGGCCTCAACACGAAGACATAACACCGCCGCACTTCTTCATCATGTTTTCTATCCATGGCTACATTGTGTCTGCCTCGGTGGCAAACGTCCTGCTCTGTGCCCTTTTGCGATAACGTCTGAAGCATGCGATTGAGGCGAAGTTCCAAACGTCACTGGGGGGCATGATCCTGTTGCAGGCATACGAAATCCAGAAATGGCTCGGCGAGCAAGAAATCCCTGCTACCTTTTCCGCCTCGATCTTCTTTGCCCTCTTCAAGGTAGGATGCCTCAAAGGTAAGAAGGCCGCCTTTCTCTTCCCAAAGAGCTCACCAAGATGTAGACCTATGGTGTCCCTTCCATCTCCCAGCTCCTCGTTGCGACTGGCCAGATCGCCAACCAAAACAACCCCGGCAATCTGGAAAAGACTTCGAAGCGTGCGGCCGATACGAGCGTATTACATACCAACATTCTCATCGGTCGGCCCGGCTCCCGGCTCGCCATCCAAGCGCTGATCTGGGGCGTGTAAGGCGAAGGGGGGGGGGGGGGGGGTTGGGAGATGGGGGCGTTTGGGGAGGTGTCCGAGCTGATTTGACGGCGTTGAGGGAGTGGTTGCCTTGCTTTTGTGGGGGGTGATGGTGGTGTGTTGCTTCATGGAGTTGTTTGTTTTGGATGTGTGGCATCATAACCAGAACGGATGAGCACCGAGATGGCCACTGGGCAAAAGGAAACGTCACCTACAGGATTCGAACCTGTGCTCCCGAGGGAATTACCTAACAGCTTCCTGGTGGATAGCAGGGCAACGCGTTAACCACTCCGCCAAAGTGACTAGCTCATCGCATAGTGGATGTGATGGATATGCGTGGGCCGAGAAGGACACTCGATGTACTTTACTGCGCTGGCTTGTCGATAGCCCTTGTTTCATCTGGTTTGCTGTAACCTGGGGCTCAGGTAGCCGTGGGAGTTCTTAAAGTATGAAGACACATCCCCCAAAAGCAGCACTGGGTGGAAGAATAGCCTGATAAATAAATATATCAGCGAAAATGAGGGAGCAGAAACAAAATTTGCAGGTTGGCGTACTAGAGAAACTACCGCTGCTACACCGGCCAAGTAGTGCTTGATCTTGACAACCGGGGATGCCAAGGGCCTACCTACACCGGGCAGGGGGTTTTTTTTATGCGCGGCCGGAAAGATGCAGGTAAAGAGTGTGAAGATGCGGCCGTAAAAGTGTAGGGAATGATGCTTGTACCGCGCGTCTCGGTCCACGGAATCGTCAATATTTTCGTGAAGAAAAAGATATAGGAGTGGTGGTCGTCGTACCTGCCGACTTGGAGGAAAGGCTTCAGGTTGGATGACCAAGTCATGCACCTGACCGAAACGAGAGCGAGCTACGATGCAGGCCTGCGCCACATCAGGCCGCAGTATGTTGAGCCATTCCAAGAACTCGGTCGGCCCCCGCCAGCCCTGGAAAGCTCTTTCCCACCGCCTTCGTCCCACCTTCCACGACCCGAGCAATGACAAACAGCCCGTCAACATGAAGACTGTGCGGATACTAGGGCGCCTTGGGCGTCTGAAGGCTCGTTTTCTTTCATCGCCGCCAGCTTGCAACTTGCATCGACAATGTTTCTCGCAGCACCACAGTCTCA